TATGCATATAAGATCTTTGGCTAATCTCTTCCTACTTTCTTCCCATTCCCTTCCCTCTGAGATTCATCAGTCTGTTCCATGTTTCCATGCCTGTGGTTTCCACTTCTGTGTTGAGCAACTGCCCCCTGATGGTCAGTGCACGTCATAGCTACCGGCTTGTTGGTCAGTCGCTTAAGCTTTAAAATATATATAGGGGCCCAGTGGATGAATTCGTGCACCTTGAAAGGAACTGTGGGCCTTGAGGCCGTGGTGGGCATAGGGGCGGGTCTTGGTTCATCCTCTACGCCTCTGCCTGGTTCCTCCTTCTGTGGCGCTGGTCCCCTGTCTGCTGGTCCTGCCACTGCTGCTCCCACATGCTGATGGTGCAGGCTCTGCTTGAACCCACTAATGGTGTGGAGCGATTGGGGCTGGCGCCATCAGCCGGTGCAAGCAATGGCTGCTGCTCCAATCGCCTTCAGGAGCAGGGTGAGGTGGAGAAGCCCTCAGGGGCGATTGGGGCCGGAAGCCGCTGCTTGCACCCACTGGTGGTGCCAAGCAATTGGGACTGGCGCTGGGTGTTGGCAGTGGGTACGAGCAGCCACTCTGATGCCTGCTGCGGGTGCGAGTGGGGTCAGTATTGGCAGCAGGTGTGAGTGCCAGGTGGGACCGTGGCAAGCAGGATCAAAGAATTTTCAGTAACCATCAGAGGCTCACCCTGATGACAGCGACTGGCTCCTCGTCTTGGTCTGGCACTTCTGCTCACCTGCTTCATCATCCCTCCGTGGCCAACACCCACCATGTTCTGCGCTCTGCCCCCTGCTGCCGACACCTGCCATGTTCTTTGTGCATCCCCTGGTGGTCAGTGCACATCATAATGACTGGGTTGTTCTGCTGTTTTATCTATTTGCATATTAGCCTGGTCTATTTGCATATTAGTCTTTTATTTGTGTGTGTGTGTGTGTGTGTGTGTGTGTGTGCATACACACACACACACACAGATATCTATGAATTATAATTTGGTTTATTTCTTTAAAAATATTTTTATTGATTTTTAGAGAGAGGAAAGGAGAGGAGGATGAGGGAGAGAGAGAGACAGAGTGAGAGAGAGAAAGTCAGAGACAGACACAGAGAGAAACATCAGTGTGAGAGCTGCCTCCTGCATGCCCCCCTACTAGAGACTGTGCCCTGACCAGGTATGTAATGCAACCTTTCATTGTATGAAATGATGCCCAACCAACTGAGCCACGCTGGCCAGGGCTCAGTTTGATTATTTCTCTGCAGTATAATTGTGTCTGGCCAAGTTGGTTATAAAGAAAATGCTGTTTCCATTTGATTTCCATATTAAAATCAGATATAAGTTTTGGAGTAAAGCCCTCACCAAAATAAATCGCAGTCTCCTTTGAGCGCCTGATGGATGTTATGGAGTCACTTTCTAGAAATGTACAAAAACTTGTGTCTATAGTTTATGGGTCATCTCTAACCCTCTGTAGTTCATTGACCCTAATTCAAAATATGCCTTTGTCATTTTCTATTTCTAAGCATATTTAATCTCCATGCATATTTTTATTTTTCAAGTGTTCAGGTATAATAATTATTTTTGTTGTAAGCAGAGATTGGAAAAAGTTTTGAAAGTTTAGAGATTGACATTAGTATCTTAATCTATTTGAACTTCTAATTATGGCTTTGTGAAAGAAATACTGGCAAGGACTCAGCAGTTTTGGCCTTTTTTCCCCCTAGTTCAAATCTTAAAATCTTATTTCATCTTTTCAAGGAATTTAGATATGTCTCTATATGCCAGGAGAAGTGAGGGACTAGATAGAAGTTTTTGGAGGAACATTTTCCAAAAATTCCTAGGTGCTGACATTCTAAGAATAGTTTCAGCTACTGTATATTTTGAAATGTATTTTGAACAATTGAATCCTGAATAATAATAGTTTATGCTATTATTTGGTTAGGGTTTTCTTGCCTTTTGTGGAAGTAAAAGGACTATAGACAGTTTCTAGCTATGGGAGAAGAAGCCATCTCTTAGTTTGCTGCTGGCACTCAGTGTAGCTGCTTTCCAGGTCTTAGAGATTACAGGTTTTGGGGAGCCCATGTGTTTTATCTTTCTTAAGGTGTCTTTTTTCTTTTATTTATTGTCGCCACTATTACTGATGCCTCCATCCTCCTTTGGCCACCTCCATCCTTAAAGTGTCTTATCTGTCTTTTAAAGTGTGAGCCTTTCATTGAATTGAAGGATACTATGACCTCCTGCCATTTCTGTTTTCAAGATTAATTCTCTAGTTTTCTTACAGCATTGAATGTTGCTGACTTGGGTACAAATAATTCTTTTTTGTTATTAAGTGTCTTTTTAAAGCCTCTGTTCTGTTGCCACATTTATTTTTTTTCCATCCTCAAATATGATTGTACCAAATCTTTTCATAGAAGATCACTCCTGAAGAAGTAATTTCTTTTTAAAATAGCAAAAGAAAAAGAATCAACTTTCTTCTACTCTACTTGCCCATCCACCCACTGAAAACTATCTTCTTGAGGAGTCACTTTAAGTTGATAGATGGTGTGATGATTTCAGAGCACTTTAAATCTTAAGAAACAAAGAAAAACATGTTAATATAAAATTTGCCACAATTTATAATTTTTTAAACTATGAAATGAAAAACAAATTTAAGTTACCTTCATAAAGCTGCTCTACTGGAAACATTTTCTGAGACTAGTGCTTGATCTTAGTTTTTGTTAGTACAACTATAAGCATAACATTTAAAAATAAACTCATTATTTATGTTATTAGTGCCCAATTCATACCTTTTAAAAATTAAAAAGTTTGAATCCAAAGCAGCAACTTACAAAGCGGAATAATAGCTACTTTGTTTGAAAAAATTATAGAAAAATGTATTTATACATATATGAAGGTCTACAAGTTATAATGAATTATTTGGGATGAGGAGCTGATTTACTTTGTATATGTATGTGTTGTTTGAATTTTTTGGTCAGGAAAAAAGTGGAATTAAAAGGTGTAGATGATAAGCTTTTAAGTGGAATTGGTGTTGAAAAGTGTTCCTTTCATCAAAATATAGATGATCTTCAAGCCTTCAGAAAAAAACCACTTTACTGGATTACTTTTATGTTTGGATAGAATAGATCCACATAGTATACAGCAATGCATTAGACCCCTGCTTTCTAATATTCAGGATTAATTTAACTACGTATCATAGGGAAGAGAAGTAGTATAATTGAGTGAAAAGATTGAAGGTATAAAAAAGTAAACTAATTCTGCTACCTAAAGTTACCCTAATTCTTTTACTATGCTAATTAATTAATGTGATCATTGCAAAGGCCAAAAAAGAATTCAGTCATGATATAATTTGCACCCCATTTTGTGTGTGATCATAAATTGTCAGATATTGCAATATATGTAACATAAACCACATGTCAGCTGTTTCCTGCCTCACTGTTGACAAGAGCCCCATTCATAACTCTTCTTTTTATCCTTTCAGTGAATAAGTAATTATTCAATATAGAAGGCAGGATATTTGGAACTGGCTATTTAATGTGGCAGCACTCTGTAATGAAATCTGCTGTTACTGGCAACCTGAGAGGGGAATGTAACAATTCCAGCATAGCTGTAACTTTATCTGCTTTGACTGTTTATTTGGCACATCAGTGAACCTTTTATCCCAGTGAGTGACAGTTCCAGAAGGGTCACATTTACATCCATTCTATCATGTATTGTAATATTTAATGGCGGACAAGGTTGAGTGAGACTGGCAGTAATTTGAACTTGCTTTTCCACCGAGTTGAGGCTAAAAGACAGCTTGAGCCCCAGTATTGTGGTGTAACATGCTATGACTTAGCATTTGTTGATGAAGGCTAATCTTACTGATTATATTTTTTTTCAAAAAACTTCAGTTAAATGGTATATTTGTTCTACTAAACTGTAACTCTACAGTACAAATTCTCTTACGCTACTGTGCTACTTAGCTTTGTTCCCCTATTAGTGATCACTTCTATAAACTAACCATTTCAAGGAATTTCTGTTAGTAAGGCTACACTCTGTCTCATATGTATAGTAATTAAGGTTAAAGTTAAGTAGTAGTTAGTAAGAATCCATGAGTTCTTATATATAGCATTAAACAGTTTTTTATTTTTGAGAGTTGAGAAACAGGAGAGAAAAAAATGAGGTAAACATTAGATTCCTGAAGTTCCATATATGGTATATTTAAGGAGACATTTATATAGTTATTTTTTTTTCTTCTCCCCCCCCCCTTTTTTTTTATTAAGGTATTATATGTGTACATATCTTACAATTCCCCCCACCCACATATATAGCTGTTTTAATTATGAAACTAAATTATGAGTAAAATTGTTCAGGAAAAGGTATCCTGAATGATAATTTTACTGATGGATTTGCATTCTATGTCAGGTAATTGAATTTCAGATATACTTGTTCCACACAAGCAACCTGCCTTTATTATTAAATATTAATAATATGCATTCATTTTCATACCTTTGCTAGAGAATAGTTCTCGCTTCTGTTGTTCAGTGATAGTGATACTTAGATTCAACTTGATATTTCTATTCTTTTGTAAGCTATATTTTAAATACTTTAAAAATATAGGTATATTATAGAATATTTAAATGGAATGTGCTGTAAACAAAAATAGTACTATCAATTCTAAGCTCACTTGTTCACTTCATTCCTAAGCAAAAATTAAAATTATCTTATTATTTTTATAATTTATGAAACAGGAAAGTTAAAATGTATTTAAAGCATTTGGAATTTGAGAGTTGGAATGGTATGTTAGAAACCAGTGCAAATATGAAAATACCATTTATAAGTTTTAAGAGTGAAAGAGAATCAATTTGAAATGGAATTGGTAGTTTTTCTTTAATGGCAAGTATTGGATGGTATGTTGATATTATTTGAAAGTTGTGATTCATTATTATGGGTTCTGATTCTATGAGAGGTTTGATGGTATTTTTTATGTTAGTTCAGACATTAGTTATCTTTTTCTTTTCTTGTACAGCCCTCTGGTCACTGCTCTAGGTGCTGCTGTTCTACTAAACAAGGAAACAGTCAGGATTCTTCAAATGCCACTAAGAAGGATCATGGGGGGAAATCCAAGATACCAAAAATATATTTTGGGACACGAACACACAAGCAGATTGCTCAAATTACTAGAGAGCTCCGGAGAACAGCGTACTCAAGAGTCCCGATGACTATTCTTTCCAGCAGGGATCATACTTGTGTCCATCCTGAAGTAGTAGGTAACTTCAACAGAAATGAAAAGTGCATGGAATTGCTGGATGGAAAAAATGTGAGTAAAGTTACTTCATTTTTGAGAAAAAAATAATGTTAAAAGGATTACATTAACTCACTTTTTTGTTTTTTATATGTACATTTCCAGTTATAATCAAATAAGTTATGAAGTCAAATTAATTACTACTATTAATATTTTTTGAAAACTAATTTTACCACAAGAAAAATCTTTATTCAAGTTTAAACTTATGTCCTAAAGTTTTGAGATATTTAATTCCTTGAGATTAATTTTTATTTAAATCAGATGTCTTCTTACTTTCTTCTAAGTCTATCAGAAATAATCAAACATGAATGATTTCATATGAAATGATAAAAGTATTTAAATGGGCTAGATTTAATTAATGTCATACATATTTAAAACTTTAAAGAAAGATACTTTATTTTGTTTTTTTTGAGCAAATTTTAAAATGTTTTTTTTAATTGAATGAGAAATATAACGATTATTTTGTCTCATTCTGATTAACACAAACTTCTGTTTCCAAAAAATTATATTAAATTACTAACTTTAAAGATATGTCATTGTGGTTTTGAAGTTTTCCAGGAAAATCTAAATTGACATGAATTTGGACTAGAAATTTGGTGGAAATAGAGAAGTCTTTCTTACTAAAGACATGACTTTGAAATAATTTTTTGGCACAGTTCATTTGGTAGTTTGTGTACCTGTTTGATAACTAGCTTACTCAAAAATGGAAGTTACAAGTCTATAATTACACCCAGAAATTATTGGTGAATCATAAATTGATAGTCTATGAAATGACCAATAATATTTTAATATATTTTGAAAGTTGTTCAATTTTTCACTAGTATTTTGTCAGAGTTGTTTTTGTACAAAAGGAGATGGGTCTCTAGAGTTTCATTTAATTGACATATCACCTTCTACTATATAATATAAATTAATTATTTTATATTATGCTTTTCTTTTTCAGTGCTTTCTTTTATTAGATGGAAATTTATTCAAGCTTTGTTTGGGATAGTAAAAAGATGCTTTGATAGGCATTCAGACATGTGAATATGAAATATAAGTACTAAGGAACATAACTTGTTCAGAGCCAGGAAGAGAATACAGATTATTGAATCAAAACCATTGTTAAAATACTATTTATATTTATTTCCAATAAGTTCTTCTTAATTGAGGAACTGTGAAATCTTCATAATATTTAAAAAGTTCTCTTCAAGGAGAGATGAAAATAGTAAAAAGTCAAATATTAAAAAGATAATAGAGAAAAGGCTCTTCATGATAAAACCCCATAAATTTTGTGCATTTTTAAGGAGACTTCTTTCCATAAGTGGCTAATTAATCTACTGGATTCCTCAAATTCTTGAAATTTCTCTTTTGTCTATATAGTTTATGCAAGAAGATTTGGCATTGCCTTTTTTTTATTTGTTATTGGGAAAATTTTAACATACTCATTTATTTGTTATCTCATTATTAAAAGCAATTATAAAGTTTAAGATTGTGCATTGAAAGCAGATAGTCTTATTTTATGTAATCCTCTAGAACACTATAGTACTGGTTATGTTTTTTTATCTTTACTGTCATAGTTTGAATAGTGTAAAAAATAAAGTAATCCAGTAAACTTGAATGTTTAGAATTTTTCATTGGCATTTAGTTTCTGTTTTAAAATAAACAAATCTTTAAAAATTAGTGATATACATAATTGAATATACCTGCTTGTAGTTGTTTGTCTTGACCTAATTCTGCCTCAGAATGCTTAGCTCATAGGTATACCTGAACATTCTTTTTCTTGTTCCCAAGCCCTTCAGGTAATTTGGTATTGTAATGAGGGCCAATTACAAAGTCACCATAGGTGTCTATGTTTACTGTGGCTGAATTACCAAAGAGAAATGATAAATAGATAACTGACAGTTTGAGTGAAAAAGAGTGTAAAGTGTGATAACGCTTTAATTGACAGACTGCCCTCAGGGTTGTGTTACACTACTAAAATGGATGAGCTTTTCTGGTTTTGCTATCAGCCTGCACAGGAGTGTCATTTTAAGTGCCCTTAAAGTGTAAACTTTCTGATTTTTTGGCTTGATCCAAAGGCACATGTGTTTTTGTTCAGTGTTTCTTTTATGAACGTGCTCTTATACTGGAAATGTAATGCATTTATCTGTTAAAAGTTAATTTTGTTTCAGTTAAGAAAAAAATTAACTAGCCCCAGAAATAATTTAAAAAGAATATTTTAGTTATGGAAGAATATCTGTTTTTGTTAGGATGAGATTTAACAGTTTTTAATCATAGATTCTGAAGGCTTCTACCTTAGTCATCATTTTGTACAAATACAAGTTTTCTGAATAGTTAGGATGGTAGATATGACATAATTTTCTCATCTTTGCTTTGTGGCTTTAATGATGTTATTAACATTCTGAGATAAACTTGTTTTATTTCTCTGTGCCAATATTGGTTCACATTACAATTATGCGTATTTGTTTTTAGGGCAAATCCTGCTATTTTTATCATGGTGTTCATAAAATTAGTGATCAACACACATTCCAGACTCTACCAGGGATGTATGAGGCCTGGGACATAGAAGAACTTGTCAGCTTGGGGAAAAAATTAAAGGCATGTCCATATTACACAGCACGAGAACTAATACAAGATGCTGACATAATATTTTGTCCCTACAACTATCTTCTAGATGCACAAATAAGGGAAAGTGTAAGTAGATACGTAAAAATTAGAGCTTTTTTTAAAAAAAATTTTTTTAACTTATTGGGGTTTAAGTGGTGAATGTGAAAGCTTTTAGATGTTTTAATGTCTTATTTTTTGTTTTATAGTTTATGTAAGTGTATAAACAGATTAGAGTACATATTGTGAGGTGTAGTTAAAATTGAATTTTAGATCTTATCACTTTAATTTCTAAAGTAATAAGTACTTTTAAGGACCTAATACTGAAGCAGAATTATAGCAGTTTTCATCACCTTGTTAGTGGTGACATTTTGGACTGGATAATTCTTTGTTGGGTTGGGCTGTCTTGTGCATTATAAGATGTTTAACAGCTTCTCTGTTTTTATCCACTAGATGCCAGTAGCACCCTCACATGGTAATAATAAGAAATGTCTCCAGACTTTGCCAAATATACCCTGGGGAGCAAAATTATCCCCAGTTAAGATCCATTTACAGATATCATTCTCTCCATTTATGAATAGTCAGAAATAATTATTTTAAAACATTTATCTACAGAATCTGTTTTGGAGAATTTATGTTGGAAGATATTCATACTATGCAATAATGCTTTGTGAGCTTTTGAAAAGTGAACTTTATATACATCAATTGTGTTTATATGTTTGGTTTTTCTTAGGGACATCCAATTGTTTCAGTATAAGACAAAAATAAATAAATAACTTGGAATATTCAATTGTTATTTCTCTCTTTAGTTCTGACTGTAAAACTCTAGCTTTCTACCTCCTTAAGTTTGAAATGAATAGAATTATTTTTTTACTACCTCTACTATCTTACCTCTTATCCTATTTCTTGGCTAAGTCTCTTCTGAGTGACTCTGCAGATCCATCTTCTAATATTACTTTTATTAATCTTTTTTTCTGCTTAAAAATCTCTTAGTGATCTTTGCTCATGGGGTAAAGTCCACATTTCTTAAGCTTACTTTCAAGTTGCTCAATAGTCTGACCTGAATCTGCTCTTTCAGCCTTCTCTGCTGCAAACTCCCCAACTGGAACCCTTCAAAAATTACCTCATAGTGGTAATTACCTGGCTGGTTATCTCAGTTAGTTTAGAGGATTGTCTCAGTATACCAAGGTTGCGGGTTTGATCCCCAACCAGGGCACTACAAGAATCAACCAAGGAATGCATAAATAAGTGAAACAACAAATCGATGTTTCTCTCTCTAAAATCGATCAAGCAATAAAATTACCTTATAGACCCCTGAGGATTCTTTGTTCTTTCCTGTATCTCTGCTTTTTTATTTTTAATCACCAAGCCATTTGGCCAGGCCTGTATTCCTGCTTTTGATGACACCTGTGTTGAAATACCCTACTCTCTTCTATCCAAATCCAAGTCCTATTCCTCCTTGAACCCCGTGTACTTCCTACTCTTCCATAAAAGCCCCTCTATGAAGGGATCGCCAACATATCTTATGGAACAAAGATACCCATGGGTAGCTAGCTAACCTGGAAAAAAGAACATGATCTTAGATTAGTCATCCCAAACTCCTCTGATTGGCCTAGTTTGAATCTCATATCCATTCTTGAACCAGTCACTGTGACCATGCAGGGATGTAATACTTTTTTAATTGACAAGCCTGGTCTCTGAGTCTACCCATGTTGTAAGAGTGGCGATGTCCCATGTTTAGCATATTAACAGTCCTACCAACATCATATAGGAGTTGGAGAAGAGCGTTTCTTACAATGAAGTGTTGCAGGACAGACAAAAATGAAATATACATTAATGTTTTGAGAGTCTTTTGAATCTTTTATTGTTATTTTAGTTTTAAAGTGTTTTTTTTTAAATTCTGTTTTTTAAAACAGAATTATGTTGGGGATCCTTTCATAGAGGGATTTTTATGCTCCTCTGTGTAGCCAGCTGTACTTTAATCCAGGCTCACTTACACATTATTTTGGTTGTGACAGGTTTGCAAAGTATTTTGAGAGTGAAAAATAGCAAACTTTGTAATGTTGAGCTGATATTTGGTTGGCTTTAGGATTTTAGAAGTTTTAAGGCCTAAAATCAGTTGTACTTGCAATATTGGCCTACAGTGTGAATTTTTAAATGAAACATCTACACTGCTGTTAAATGCATTTTGCTGAAAGTTTTACGGGGAATTTTTTTTTTGTTTTATAGATGGATATCAATCTGAAAGAACAGGTTGTCATTTTAGATGAAGCTCATAACATTGAGGACTGTGCTCGGGAATCAGCAAGTTATAGTATAACTGAAGTTCAGCTTCGGTTTGCTCGAGATGAACTAGATTGCATGGTCAACAATAACATAAGAAAGAAAGACCATGAGCCTCTACAAGCTGTGTGCTGCAGCCTCATTAAGTAAGAACATTTGTCTATCAGTGTCATTTTGCTGCCTTTGTATTAAAAACATGTTTTATTTTGCAGAGTATTTTATAATTAGCAAACTTTGACTAGGAAATGGATTGCTCCTTATCAGTTAAACTTTTAAAAATAGGCCTTGTCCAAAGTTTTGGCTTAGTCAAAAGAATATAATGGACAGAATAGATTTTTTAAAAAAGTGATAATTGTGAATCTTATTCTGAATTTAACAGCCCCATATGCTGTGTATAGGACATTGGTCTGAACATAAATTAATGGTTCTAATTAACATTTTAAAATTCAGGATATGGCTTTAATTCATTGTTTTATCCTCCAGTTTAAGTAGAATTCTGGTTTAATGAATTTCAATTAACCAATATCTTAATACTGTAAAATAATATATTTAGTAGAAATTTATTAAGATTTATATTATATAATTTCTCTTTCATTAGACATTAGTTTTTTTTAAAATCTCTTTACTAGAGGCTTGGTGCATGAAATTCGTGCACTTGGGGGGGCGGTCCCTCAGCCTGGTTTGCAAAAGGGCACAGGCCAGGCCGAGGGACCCCATCGTGCACAATTGGGGCCGGGGAGGGACACGGGAGGTTGGCTAGGTGGGAAGGGACAGTAGGTGGGCTCCAGGGTGTGTCCAGCCTGTCTCACTCAGTCCTGATCAGCCGGGCCTCAGTAGCAAGCTAACCTATCAGTCGGAGCATCTGCCCCCTGGTGGTCAGTGCACATTATAGTGACTAGTCAACTGGTCAACTGTCTGCCCCTTGGTAGTTAGTGCATGTCATAGCGAGTGGTTGAGCAGCCTTAGCATATCATTAGCATATTATGCTTTGATTGGTTGAACAGATGACCAGAAACTTAGCATATTAGACTTTTGTTATATAGGATCTTAGAAAAAAACCTTCTCTGACTCTAGATCCTATTTCATTTATCTCAGCATTTTTCTGTTCCCTTAACAGTATACTTTTTAAAAATGTGAAAGTTATAGTCACATGTTTGAACAGAAATAGTATACACAAATTTCTATTGTAAAAACCTCCATCTCACCCCACCCCCATATGCTTAGTTCTTGTCTTCTTATACAAATTTATCATTTAGTGCATGTTTATGCATAATGAGTCTATTCTTTCTCAAATTTTTTTGATAGTTCATGTTTTGTTTGATGTCTAGATGTTGAAGTGCCTCAGGACTTGGTCTTAGGACCTCATTTCATTTCTAGTTCTTCACTTCTCCTAAATTACATAACCCAGTCCCATAGCAGTACTGCCGAGGCCTGGACCTATGTCCAGCCCCAACCTCTCCTCGGAGTGCTATTTCCATAAATCCAACTATACTTTATATCTTTGTATATAAAATTTCAGCTTTCCAAAACAAAACTTATTCCCTTCCCCTACTTAACCCCCTGTCTTTCTCATCTGAGCAAACAGTACCAATCCGTTTCTCAAATAGAAAATCTAAGTATAATTCCCAATTGCTGCCCCACCTCATTCAATTTATCAGTACGTCTTATAAATGCCATCTGCACAACATATCCCAAATTCCTCAGTCTCATGTCTACCATTCAACTAGAATACTGTAACAGCCTCCTAACCGGTCTCTGCTTTCACTCTTGCCTTTCTCCTATAATCCATTCTGACTTTGAAGCTGGAATCATCTTTTAAACACTTAAAATAGATGGTCTCTCTCTCTCTCTCTTGTTTAAAATCCTCCATTTAAAACCTTCCCATTGCATTTTGAATAGAATTCAAATTTCTTATCCTGGCTTAACATGATCTGATTCTTGCTTTTCACTTTAACGTTATTCCCTTTTGCCCATTGTGTTGCAAATACATTGGCTTTCTTTCGGGTCCTTAAAGAGGATAATTTGTGAACCACCTCAGGATCTTTGCATGATTTCTTCTGATTCTCCCAGGAATGGGTACATTTTGCTCTCAATGCTGCCATGACTAAGTACATTTGCCTTCAATTGTTAGAATAAATGTTACCTCAGGGAGAGCCTTCTTGATATTCAAATTAAAGTGGCAATTAGATTACCTTATTCTAATTTAGTTTCATTATACTTCTTATTGCTATCTTATATTTTCTTGTTCATGTATTTGTTTCTAAATTTCTTCCTTTAGTAGAATGTAATTTCCATGAGAATAAGAGCCTTCCTTATTTTACTTCCCTATTTTAGTATGTACTGCTATATTTCTACTACCTAATGTAGTTATCTAACATAATAATTGACATTTAAGCACTTATTGGATGTACACATGTGTATATAAGTTAATGAATATATTTATATATTTTCTAGTAATTCACTTTTAAAAAAATATTTTTTTATTGATTATAGAGAGATAGGGAAAGGGAGAGAGAATCATTGATCGGCTGCTTCCTGCACATCCCCTACAGGTGATCTAGCCCACAACCCTGGCATGTGCCCTTGACCGGGAATCAAACCAGGGACCTTTCAGTCAGCAGGCCGATGCTCTATCCACTGAGCCAAACCCCAGGCAGGGCTCTAGTAATTCTCTCGTTTTTATGTGTTAATCTGTAACTTAAATTTTTTTATTAGGTAGTTTTGAATTTCCTTTAATGTGCATTTGGGATGAGCTTCCAAGTCATGGCTCTCATTTGGAGAGAGTCAAGTAAAGCATTGAATCCACAAGACGCTGCCTGTTTTTCTTTCTGAATAAAAGCCTGTTTGTTTGTTTTCTGATTGAAAAGTTGCTCTTTACATATGTGAATGTTTATTTGTAATATGATATATGCTTTTAGGACATAAATATGTCTTAATTAATTCATATTTGTGTTCTGAGAGCTTCAAGGAATCTAGATGAACATATCTTAATTCTCTGTTCTATGAAAATGGTGCCCATAGGATGACACTGGTTGATGGGGACTATTTTATTTTATTCCAGTTGGTTAGAAGCAAACTCTGAGCATCTTGTGGAACGGGATTATGAATCATCCTGTAAAATATGGAGTGGTAGTGAAATGCTCTTGAATTTACATAAAATGGGTATCACCACTGCTACTTTTCCTATTTTGCAGGTAAGGTTTCTTTCTACCTGTGGAAATTCAATTAGTGAATTAGAAATGATTAATAGTAAATAAGTTTTATCCAGGGTAAAAAAAAATAGCAATTTGTTTTAAAATTTTATTATGTAAGTTTGACAGTATTATGTGTGATGGGCATAAATTTTGGATGAAAAAGTAGTATTATTTAGTTTGAAGGAAATGAGACTCAAAGGAATGAATTGCTTATTCTAAGATAAAATAAGTCAATATTTTTAGGTTGTAAATTTATTTTGTTAATAGTAAGAGTTAAAATTTGGAAAATAAATAGATTTCATATTTTGTTCTCAGAATAGTAGTTTATAAACCTAAGTGGATGGAGATCGTGAGTGGGCTATGGGATACTGTAAACATTATGAAGTCATATGCAAAATTTTATGAGTATGTGCCTTGTTTTTTTGTATATCATGAGAGGGAATCCATTTTGATTTCCATGTCGATAGTGAATTTTCTCATCATTTACTAACTAGTCCACCTTTTATAACTCTATTGGTAATGCCATTTCTGTCACATATCTAATTTTTCATACATGTGTGAATTTAATTTTGAACTCTATGATTCTGTTTATCTAAACTGTCATGTATATTACTGTTAGAAAAAGACTGATAGATCTGATAAGGCATATCTTCTCACTTTGTTCTTTTCCTTTGTAATGATCTTGGCTATTCTTGGTCTTACTCTACCATTTGAATTTTAGAATTAGCTTTGGTTCATTGGTTTAATTTTTCTTGTAATATAGTTATATTATTCTCAGCATTAGAATACAATGGAAATAATTCAGGCATTAGGTGACATATCAATTCTTTTAAGCTCCACTTATCAATTGATCATTTGGTAAGTACATTTTTATGTAGTTCATTACTTTTGAAGGATACTAAATAATAATCTGATTACCTAAACATGTAATGAACCTCCTAAATATATAATTTTATTAAAGGTCTTTGAAGATAATGTGGGAATCTAAAACATATTGTTAGCACTTGTGTATTAGTAAAGTTTGCCTAAAATTTCAATGTATATTTCATTTAGTTTTCATTATAGCTTTGAAAAGTTTGTTTTACTCCTTAACCCTCCCCCACTGTATACTTAATATTGTAATTTCTTATAGGGACATTTTTCTGCTGTCCTTCAAAAAGAAGAAAAAATTTTATTGGTTCATGGTAAAGAGAAGACAAGAGAAATACCTGTTATTAGTGCTTCAACTCAAATAATGCTCAAAGGACTTTTTATGGTGCTTGACTATCTTTTTAGGCAAAATAGCAGGTAAATGAAGATATCTGATCTGTTTTTTTCCTCTTAAAAACAGTAGCCTTATTGGATGTTGGCATGTGTTTAAAACATTCTTATTTTGTAAGAGTACATAGGATAATAATAAACAATTGATAGAAATAATTGCTCTCCTTGGCACAGATTCAGATTAATTGAAATTAGTCTTTAATAGTGGAAATAAAGTGGAAATAAGTGAAATCTATAGATATACTAATTCAGCATTAAATTTATAGTTCTCTAGGACTAAATTTAAGCAGTTAAGTTGTCTTTTAAGTATCTTATCTAATGTACACTAATAAAAGAGAAAGACGCAAACTGACTGTACTGTCATGATGTCCAACAGCCAATCAGGAGTGAGTATGCAAATTAACCCAACAAAGATGATGGGTTAATGTGCACATGCAGGTGCTGAGTGGGTGGGGGCCGGCGGGACGCCTGTGTTGTCACCATGTTGACGATACAGGCATTCTGGATTGCCCTCAGCCATTCCGGGCCTCTGGGCAGCATGGAAGGTGGAAAGGCGGCTCAGGGATGGAGCAAAGGCAGAAAGGCAGCTCTGGTCTGGAGGGGAAGGCCCATTCTTGCACGAATCTTTGTGCATCAGGCCTCTAGTAATCTAATTGAGTAATATGCAAATTGATCATCACTCCAACACACAAGATGGCTGTCCCCATGTGGTCAAAGATGGCTGCCCCCATGTGAGCACAAGATGGCTGCCACATAATGGCCTGTAGGGAAGGGCAGTTGTGGGTGATCAGACCTGCAGGGGAAGGCAGTTAGGGGTGACCAGGCCTGCAGAGGAGGGGAGTTGGGGTGATCAGACCTGCAAAGGAAGGCAGTTGTGGGCAATAAGACCAGCAGGAGAGGGGAGTTAGGGTTGACTAGGCCTGTCGGGGAGGGCAGTTAGGGGTGACCAGGCCTGCAGGGAAGGGGAGTTGGGGGCAACCAGACCTGCAGGGGAGGGCAGTTAGGGGCAATCAGGCCAGCAGGGGAGTAGTTAGGGAGTGATCAGGCTGGCATGCAGAAGCAGTTAGGGGCAATCAGGCAGGCAGGCAGTCGAGCGATTGGGAGCCAGTAGTCCTGGATTGTGAGAGGGATTTCCCACAGGGATAGGACCTAAAAGGGCAGTTGGACATCCCTCAAAGGGTCCCAGATTGGAGAGGGTGCAGGCTGGGCTGAGGGACAGCCACCTTCCCAGTGCATGAATTTTGTGCACCAGGCCTCTAGTAGTTTACATATGTTTCTTCCAGTAATAGAAAGTTTCTTATTGCATAAAGCCTCTATTTAGTGAATTGTGCAAAATGAAAAGCAGTTATGGTACTCCCTGGTTCTAGTATTTTGTTTTTTAAATTTTGGTAATATATGCATAACATAAAATTATTATCTTAGACATTTTTAAGTGTATATTTCAGTAGCATTAAGTAGATTCGCATTGTTGTGCAACCACCACCACTAACCATTTCTAGAACTTTTTGGTCATCTTGCCCAGGACTGGAGTTCAGTGCAATCGGGTCTTCCTTTTCCCTCCCGCTTTAGAAAGCCAGCTGTGCACTCAGCCGCCTGTGCACACAGCTGCCCGTCCTCTCCACATGCGCGTCTCTGTACCTCAGCCTTTTGCAGCTCCTCTGAGTCTCAATGTGCTTTCCTCTTTTCTTAGCCAGCTTTCCTTTGATTCTTGATGGTGTCCATTTTGTCCTTTAGTTGTAGTTTTGATATTGTTATGGGAGGCAGTAGTTTAGGTGTTTACCTATGCCACCATCTTGGTTTCTCTCTTGCTAAGAAGAGCCACTTTGGGGAGCCGTTGAACAGACCAGTCCACGCACAGGTGTGGAGCTGGCGGGTGAGCTCTGCACCTCCGCCTTCCCGCAGGGGATGAAGTTCTGCCAGAATAGCATTCTTTTTAATGGCTGATTAATATTTTCTCCCTCCCTCTCTCTCTCTGTGTGTGTGTGTGTGTGTGTGTGTGTGTGTGTATATATATATATATATATATATATATATATATATATATATATATATATAAAACAAAGGTATTAAACCAGGTGTCCTCATTAATCCCATCATTTTATATTAATAATTTCTTTGTTTTATATATATATATATATAAATATCTGTCTATCTCTATCACATTTTGTTTATTCATATTGATGTACATTTGGATTGTTTGCACCTTTTGCCAATTGTGAATAATGCTGCAGTGAACATTTATGTGCAAGTATCATATTGAGTCCTTTTTTTTACTTCTTCTGAGTATGTACCTACCAGTGAAATTGCAGGATCATATGGTCCAATTTATTTATTTCTTTAAAGTCAAGTTACTTACTTGTGCTTTTGGTATATCCAAGAACCATGGATAAATCTGATGTCATGAAGATTTCCCCCTATGTTTCTTCTAAGGGTTTTATAGTTTTTAGCTCTCAATATTTTTATAAAATTCTCTCCACAGATTTAAGGTTCTTGCCTTGAACTTCAAGACCTTATCTCTCTTAAGAGCAAAATTTAGGACTGGTAGAGAATACCACATTTTATTCTCTTTAAGCTTATGTATTTATAGTCTCTTATTAAAAGAAATTATTAATATAAAATGATGGGATTAATGAAGACACCTGGTTTAATACCTTTGTTAAAAATAGATGAAAACTGCCGAAACCGGTTTGGCTCAGTGGTAGAGCGTCAGTCTGCGGACTGAAGGGTCCCGGGTTCGATTCCGGTCAAGGGCATGTACCTTGGTTGCGGGCATATCCCCGGTAGGGGGTGTGTAAGAGGCAGCTGGTCGATGTTTCTCTCTCATCGACGTTTCTAGCTCTCTAGCTCTCTTCCTCTCTGTAAAAATCAATAAAATATATTTAAAAAAAAAAGATGTAAACTGAGACCCAAATATTAAAGGAACTTAACATTTTTATAGTCTCCTGAACTTTTTAAACTTTCAATAAAAATGAATGTTTTTTACTTTTTCATGTAATAAAAAAGTGTAAACGACTTTTTAGTTTTTTCTAACAATAATGCTAGTTATCTATTTTATAACTAATGATGTAACGTAGAGTACAAAGAGCTCTGAACTAGGAGTTAGTTGGTTTGGATTTTAATTCTGGCTCTGCCATGATTTATGGAAGGCAGCTATGCTCACCACTATACCACCAACGCAGACATCTGTCATGTTTTATGTAGTGTTTGATCATAGGGAGAGGAATGATAAAGGTTGGATAGTTAGATGACATCTAATCTCTATAAGAGGGGGTTGCTTCTAAGACACAATGGCTTATTTTCTATCAGAATTACTGAATTTAATTAGTGGTAGGTGTTTCTTAGGCAAAATATAATCTTTGTGACGACATAAGACTCTCAATTTAGTTTTAATATAATCATTTTTTTTCTTCTATGTAGCTGGGACATATTGGTTTTATAAAGCTTTGCCATTTAATTAACACTTAATTTCATTTAGGTTTGCAGATGATTATAAAGTTGCTATTCAACAGACTTATTCTTGGATAAATCAGACTGATATTTCTGATAAAAATGGTTTCTTTGTTCCACCAAAAAATAAGAAACGTTCACGACAGAAAACTGCAGTTCATGTGCTAAACTTTTGGTGCTTAAATCCAGCTGTGGTAAGCTGATTGTTATATATGAAAATTCTGTCTTCTAACTCAATACAAACAAATAAATGTGCCTGACTCTTTTAAAGATGATTTTATATATATATATCTAATGTTGTTTCCTTCTAGGCCTTTTCAGATATTAATGGCAAAGTGTGGACGATTGTTTTGACATCTGGGACTTTATCACCAATGAAATCCTTTTCATCAGAACTGGGTGTTACATTTACTATTCAACTGGAAGCTAATCATGTCATTAATAACTCACAGGTTAGAATTTTTGTTTTGAAGGCATTCAGTCTTTTTACCTCAATATAATTGCACATAAACAAATTGGAAGTACTGCAAACAGATACTGATAGGAAAGTCAACATTTCAGTTTTAGAATAAAGGAAAATCTGTCAGCTACTTGATAGTGTCAACAACAGAAAAATACTAATAAATGCATTCCTTCAACCCACTGAATAAAAATATATACTTTGTATGCAAAGACTGTATTGCAATTTCCTCATTTAAATAAGTTTTAGTGTATTTTTAAAAATGAAATTTCAACTTCTTTACCATAGAGTTTATTGTTTAATTATTTGTTTATGTGTTTCTCTTTTTTATTAGAGTATGGTATATCCTTGTTCTTCTTTTTATGTATACATTCTTCTGTACCTAGACTAATATTTATCTAGCATTAGTTAGCAAGTGTTAGGCATATATTTGAGTGAATAGAATTAGAAGTACTCTTTTTTTTTTTAAAATATATTTTATTGATTTTACATAGAGAGGAATTGAGAGGGATAGAGAGCTAGAAATGTTGATGAGAGAGAAACATCGACCACCTGCCTCTTGCACACCCCCCACTGGGGATGTACCCGCAACCAAGGCACGTGCCCTTGACCAGAATCGAACCCGGGACCTTTCAGTCCGCAGGCCAACGCTCTACCACTGAGCCAAACCGGTTTCGGCTAAAAGTACTCTTATGAGTCCTGTGACTTAAGATTTTAATTTTTTTTTATAATAACACCATATAGATGTTACTTTAATTTTCCTTTTTAAAAAAGTATATTTTATTGATTTTTTACAGAGAGGAAGAGAGAGGGATAGAGAGTCAGAAACATCGATGAGAGAGAATCATCGATCAACTGCAAGGCAGCTGATCTGGGGATGTGCCCGCAACCCAGTACGTGCCCCTGACCAGTATCGAACCTGGGACCCTTCAGTCCACAGGCCGATGCTCTATCCACTGAGCCAAACCGGTTTCGGTTAATTTTCCTTAAAATGTTTTTATTGTCATTTATTGATCTGTCTCTGTTTCTTTCTTTTTCAATCCTCTCCTACGATATTTTTCCATTGATTTTTGGAGAGAGTTGAAGAGAGAGGGAATGACAGAGAGAAATATTTAATATTGATATAATAGAGTCAATATTTATATTTCTGTAGTTACTTTCAAAATGCCTTTTAACCTATTTTTAAAAATATGTATTTTATTTATTTTTTACAGAGAGGAAGGGAGAGGGATAGAAAGTTATTAATACTGATGACAGAGAAACATCCATCAACTGCCTCTTTCACACTCCCAGTGCCTTAACCGGAATCTGCAGGCTGATGCTCTGTCCATTGAGCCAAACCAGCTAGAGCTATTTTTTTTTTTTAATATATTTTATTGATTTTTGTACAGAGAGGAAGGGAGAGAGATAGAGAGTTAGAAACATCGATGAGAGAGAGTCATCGATCAGCTGCCTCTTGCACACCCCCTACTGGGATATGCCCGCAACCAAGGTACATGCCCTTGACCGGAATCGAACCCGGGACCCTTCAGTCCCCAAGCCGACGCTCTATCCATTGAGCCAAACCGGTCTCAGCTAGAGCTATTTTTTAAAATATTCTTAATCCAGGATCCACACAAGAATTATATATTACTTTTGGTTTTCATGTCTCTTTAGTCTTTAAAAACAGTTTTCTTGCCTTTTTTTCCTTTCTATCTGACGTTTTATGAAGAATTCAATTCACCTGTTTTCTTAAGTAGTAGCTTATAATTTGGATTTATCTGATTGTTTCTTTATCATAAGATTCAGGTTAAGCAGTTTGATAAGAATACTATACAGGTAGTATTGTTACTTTTCATTGCTTTGTATCAGGAAACATAATGTCAGTTTTTTATGTTACTTGTTGATCATTTAAGTAATAATTGCTTCATATAGTATCTGTCAGATGTTATCTTGTAAAATGTACTTCAATCACATTATTTCAAAATATAATATTATTACATATTTCAGCCACCTGAAGTGTTTGTACTTTCTGTGGATTACTAATAAAGTCTGTTCTTTTTCTTAATCAAATTAACTACACTAAGGCTAGATCTGTATGAGTTAGAAGAATTGCATAGAGCTGTAAAATTTTGTGGGTTTGATTTTTTTTTTTTTTACTATATATCTTTGGACATCAGTGAATTTGTGAAAGGGTAGTTCCTGTCATAATTGAATCTTAGAAACTTGCCTATAGCAGATTATACCCAGCCCTTACCTCTGATATTTTGGACTGTTTCTGATTTATCCATTTCACTTGTTTACATAATCCAACATTATTTTGTTACATGCTTAATTGTGCAAAACCCTTTAGGGAATAGATAAATGAAACCCCTTTTGCTTTTATCCTAGGAGAATTCAATGATCTGCCTAAAAATAAAACTATAATAATTATAAATAATTATATAAAGGGAATTTAAAAATAAATTTCCTTTAAACTTGTTGCTTGAGCTTCTTCTGATATATATGCAATTAAGGCTCCCAACTAAATGCTAAGTTCCCTGCCTTAGTTTAGGCATAACTCTAATACTAAGATATTTATATTCTAGGTTTGGGTTGGCACCATTGGATCAGGACCCAAGGGTCGGAATCTCTGTGCTACCTTCCAGCACACAGAAACATTTGAATTCCAAGATGAAGTGGGAGCACTTTTGTTATCTGTATGCCAGATTGTTGGCCAAGGAATTTTGTGTTTCTTGCCATCTTACAAGGTAGGGGAATATTTATTGTTTCTTTTGCCTTTAGAAAACCATGTGGGATTACCATGATAAACTTCCTAAGGCTAGAAGCAACAGGGGAATTATAGTTTTCTAAACATCATATATTGTTTTACTTATTTATTGATTAAGGCACTGCCTAATTGTTCTATTACTGTTTTACTTGACAGTTTAAAAACTAAAAACGTTTTCAAGCCGTGTTGTTATATATTTATGTGTATGGGATTTTTATTCTTAGAGTAGTTTGATATTTTCATAGTTGAAGGGAAAAGGAGCATTCTTTTTCACTTTTATAAATTGCACTTTTGAAAGTTTTAGTAATTTGAATCTAAAGTGAACTTTCTTGGTTGCCTGTATTTTTACTTCATGTAAATGACTTTTTTCCTTGTTTTTAGACTCACTCTGATTTTCAATATTTTCTTGAATTAAACTGAGTTATATCTTAGTCTTAATAGCTAAAGAATTAAAACCTTGTATAATTTCTGAGAGTAATATATTTATCAAAATCAAAGCTAAATTTCAATGTAGAGAACTGGCATTTCCTTTTTATTTTCATATGAAGCTATATATCTAAGGACAGTCATAGAAATAATATATATGAATAGCAATATTGATACTTTTGGCTTTCCTACTGTCTTTTTATTTACATACATTCTGCGGTAGTCTAAATATGTCCCCCAAATTTTATATTTTGAAATCTTAACCCCCAAAGATGATGACATTAAGCTGTGGGAGAGCTGAAGTCATGAGACTAGAATCCTCATGAATAAGATTAATGTCTTATCAAAGAGGCTCCATAGAGATCCCTTGTCCCTTTCACCATGTGAGGACAGCAAGAAGGCGCCAGCTATGAACCAGGAAGAGAGCCCTCACCAAATGTGGCCACACTGGTACTTGGATCTTGGACTTTTCAGCCTCCAGAACTATTTATGAATTTCTGTTGTTTATAAGCTATCCAGTCAGGAGTATTTTGCTATAGCAACCCGATGGGACTAAGAGACATACTTTGTTAACTAGAGATGCAGTAAATTAGTCCTCCTATAGATAAACTGAAGGAATTGTTTCTACAAGAAATTTAATCAAATTCTTTTGTTTGTTTTTACAAGACTTTCTAAAAATAAAATGGACATAAACATCTTTAAAATAGCCTATATAATTAAGAGGGACTGTGCTAATTGACCCTCATGCTGTTGCAAATATGGCAGTGCTACAGCCAATAAGGAGGGAATATGCTAATTCTCTGTCCCGCCCTCAAAGATGATGGCACCCTGTCCCCTCTGGAGTCTGAAAATCCCTTCAGCCCCCCAGCTGCCCTGGGCCAGCTCGAGGCACAAGCAAGCCTTCTAGTTTCGTGTTTTCAAATGATATAATTTTCATTAGCCAGTTTCAGTAGTTTAAAATATATTATGGCTAAATGAATCAACTAAAATTTATAGGCATTAGTACTTTTCTGTTCATTGAGTACTTGGTCTTTGATAAAGATACCAGGCACTTTCGTGTGTGTGTGTGTGTGTGTTTTTTGTTTTTGTTTTTAAGTTTTCTAAGAAAAAAAGTGATGAAATATCAATCTTTACAAATAGACATGTTCAAAAGTAAAAAATAGGTCCATCAGATCCTAATAGTATACCAAGGTTTAAAAACCTTTAATAATTCCTTATTTTCTGAAAGACTGAGCCTAAAATATTTTGCACTATCCATAGCGTTCATTATTTTCAGCCTTATTTCTAGCATGCCTCATCCTATATATACCTTTATTTTAGGCACATTGCAGTATGAGTGCTTAGAACTGCCATGCATTTTCATACCTATCTATGTGTGGTAGAATTGTAAGATGGCCCCCCCCAATATTCCTGGCCTCTTGTGCGTACATTCTTTCCCCCATTTATTCATTCAAACAGTAATATGGGTACTGCCGTGAAGGGATTTTGCATAAGAAATCCCTTAAGATAGTGAGAGATTATCTACTTGGTCCCAATCTAATTCCACGAGCCCTTTAAAAGCAGATACAGTAGTTTTCTACAGTTGGTTGCAGAAGAGGAGGTCAGAGAGACATGATATAGCTTGCTTGGAAGAAAGCAGATGTCTGTGTGAGAAACTGACTATGGGAGAGGAAGGGAATATGGCAAGGAATTGCAAGTGGCCTATAGGAGCTGAGAGCAGTCTGGCCAATAGCTAGTAGGAAATGAATTCTTTCAACAGCCAGGCCTTGGAAGAGAACCCCAGGTCCCAAGTGAGAACTGCAGCCCCAGAATACACTTAATTTTGAAGCCCTGAACAGAGAATCCATTTGCGTTGTGCTTGGACTTGTGACCTACAGAGATATAATACACTAGAGGCCCGATGCATGAAATTTGTGCAGGTATAGGCCTGCCTTCCCGTGGCTGCCCGAACCGCTTCCCTCTGGCACTCGGGACCCGGGCTTCCCTCTCAGCTCTGGTTTCGTCTGGAAAGTCATCTGGAAGGATCTCCAGTCTAATTAGCATATTATGCTTTTATTATTATAGATTGTTTTTATAAATAGGTTTTTATGCTACAACATGGCTGTACCTGGAGGACATTATGTTAAGTGAAAGTAGCAAAAAAAGTAACTTTTTTAACAGAAAGTTAGAAGGATAGTTGCCAGGGCAGGAGGAAGAGGGGAATGAGTTGTTTAATGGCTTCAATTTTGCAAGATAAATAGAGTTTTGGAGATAGTTGTACAATAATGTGAGTATACTTAACCTAACTGACCTATACACTTAAAAATGGTTAAGATGGTAAATTTTATGCTTTGTATATTTTAGCACAATTTAAAAAGGATTATTATTATTATTTTGGCATTGTAAATTTCTTTTTTTTTTCTTCTCTCTAGTGGATCTTCTCCACTAGATTGTTGAAGTGGGGTTTTTCCCAAAGTATTTAACCCTCAAGTTTTATAGCAACAGGTTTATAGCAGATTCAGGTTGGCAGCACCTGAAAGTAGTACTATTTATTTATTTATTTATTTATTTGTGACTTTTAAAAAATATATATTTTATTGATTTTGTACAGAGAGCCAGAAACATCGATGAGAGAAAGTCATCGATCAGCTGCCTCTTGCACACCCCCCACTGGGGATATGCCCGCAACCAAGGTACATGCCCTTGACTGGAATCGAACCCGGGACCCTTCAGTCCCCAAGCCGACGCTCTATCCATTGAGCCAAACCGGTCCTGGCAGAAAGTAGTACTTTTTAGGAAACACTGTAGTGGTTACACATCTGATTTATTTTTTTCTCAGCCTAGATTATGATTAGATTATAATAGTGCAGCTACATTTATAGTTTAATTTAATTATTAGCCTTTTAATAGAGGGATAGAAAATGAGTTGCTATTTTTTTTTGTCCTCTCTCCCTACAATTAATCTACTCTGGTAAGGAATGAAACATAAAAATGAATTTGTGTAAATAAATTTATTTGTTCAGATTTCAGCCAACATTTGTAAGCCGATACTTAACTCTTAAGTAGCAAAACTGGTCAAATATATGCATTTTAATAAAATATTTTGTTTAGTCATTGATGAACCCAACTATGTTGATCAATAAAAAGAAATTTGGAATTTATGTTTTAAAAGAGTCAATTTTTTTCATACATAGATAGCTGTTCAGTTCTTCTTGTTTTCTATCCAAGAGATTTCAACAAAGTAGAATATCATGAGAAACTGTATGAATTATTTCTGAAATTCTACTTAATTTGAAATCTTTTACATTGTATATATCATTGTATATTTTTATCATAATGTATCAATAAATGGCTGTAAGTAAATGTCAGTAACAGTAGTGTAGTTCTAACATTTTCAGAGTCCTCATTCTTTTAACAAAATTATGTGAGGGAATTTTTCTTATGAGAAAGGACTGACTGTAGGACCTTTTATTTGGCCAAGAACTAAAATGGATCTTACACTTCATGATGATATTCCTTCATATTATTATTCCTAATGCATTACTGACTGTATTCAAATTTGTTGAAAACTTGATCTTGAAATATAACAGAGCCTCTTAAAGTGATGCTGAAACAGATAATCATGATAAAGCTAGAATATAAGAAGTTGTTTCAATAGAAAATCATATTTTCCATATTTTATGTTTGAATACAGATGTTTGAATAGCAAGAATTAAGCATACATTCATTTTTACTGTAATTCAAAAAGTTATGAAAAACTACTAGTTTATTTTTAATTTTTATTATTATTTATAAGGAACTATATTTTATTCCTAACATGTGCCATCTATAGGTACATTATAACTGAATAAAATTTAGTAAAAATTTCTTAAATATTGAAATGAATAGTGAAGAATCACCTTCATATGGAAAAATATGACAGGTTTTACATATGAGTAAATTATATGGAAAAGATTACAAAAGATGGTAGTCTGTTTAGGCAGGCCTATTAAAAAGCATTAAGACTTGAGTACTGGCTATTAAAGTGAGTAAATGGCAATATTATAAAGTTAAACACATGCCAAAAAACATTTTCCAGAGGACTAGGATTGTAACAATACCATTAATGAGGGCAAAGAGGTTTTAATGCAATTTGCACTTTCTAAAGTTTCAAAAAGAGGCTTTGAGTTAGTGCATTATTAATGTACTGAACATCTGGAACTGTGTAAAAGCTATAGACATTGAGCAAATGCAGGATTTCCCCACTAGGTTGCATTCTAACTTATGGCCTCCCCAGTGAGATACCAGTTTTAAGAAGTTTAAAAAGGTAAAATGACAATAACCAGATAAGGTACAAACATTCCAAAGTGTCTTTTAATTTGTGAGATCTGACCAAAAAAAAAGTATCTGAGTTTACCAAATCCAAATGATATAAACACCAATTAGTAGATTAAATCACCTATGTCACTATATGTGGGTTAGTCTCTTTGTGTGAATAGTATTCGCTCTTTATGAGCTAAGTAAACTATTTTATAACAGAGATGACTCATATTTTTCATATATATAAATCTTAAACCTGAGAGATGGCTTTGTGTCAGTGTACTTTCCTCTAAGTTATTTGACTTTTAGATACCTAGTTATGATACTCAAGAAAATTTAAAAATCAACTGAATTATATATGTTTTAGTTATTTGTCTGATTTTTCTAGTAAGAGGGAAGTAATTAAGCTATATAAATGTGCAGTTTGAGTGATAATGGGAAAGCTGTAGACCTAAATATTTTATCTAAAACTGAAAGTTTGTGATGGACCATTTTCATAAAAATAATTGGTATTTTTTGCTATATTTTCTTTTCTTTTTTCTTTTTTTAAAATATATTTTATTGATTTTTTACAGAGTGGAAGGGAGAGGGATAGAGAATTAGAAACATCAATGAAATAGAAATATCGACCAGTTGCTTCTTGCACACCCCCTACTGGGGCTGTGCCCGAAACCAATGTATGTGCCCTTGACCGGAATCGAATCTGGGACCTTTCAGTTCTCAGACCGACGCTCTATTCACTGAGCCAAACCGGTTTCGGCTTTTGCTATATTTTCTAAATGCAGTAGGAATCCATTTGAGGCTTTAGACTTAATTTTAATGGGATTATAGTAGTTACAGTATGGAAAATGGACTATAGAGAGTAAGATGGCTATATAGGAGTCTATTGTAATAACTCATTGGAGAGATGGTGGTGCCTTGGACCACTGTGGTAGCAGTATTTTTGGAGTCGAGATAAAATTTGAAAGTGGCAATGGAAGGATTTGCTGATAGATTAGATGTGCATCATGATAGAAAGAGGGAGTAAGGTTTTCTTAGTGGACATTTTTCTTTTTGTTCTCTACTTTAAATCAGTCTCATCCAAATGTACTCTTTCAGGAACATCTATTGTCTTGCTTTCCCAGTTTATAATCCAACTAGAGGACCGGTGTATGAAAATTTGTGCACTGGAGGGGGGTCCCTCAGCCCGGCTTGCCTTCTCTCAGGGGCAGGAAGCGACCCAGTGATCAGGGGAAGGCCATGCCCCCATCACACTTCTGTTGCTGTCACTGCTGGCAGTGCAAGCCTCGGCCGGCCCTGGTTACGTGAGCCTTGGGTGGTCCTGAGCAGCTGGGCAGCTGCCATCCGAGGCTTGCCTGTGCCTTGGGCTGGCCCTGGGTGGCTGGTGGGCTGAAGGGACTGGGGGACTCCAGAGGCATGCACGCAGCAAGGCCGGGCCTGCCTTGGCAGGGCTGAGGGCACTGGGCTCTGCCATTCTGTGGCTGAGGGCACCATCATCATATTCCCTCCTTATTGGTTGTGGGTGCTGCCATCTTTGAGGGCATGACAGTCAATTAATATATTCCCTCCTTATTGGCTGTGGGCGCTGCCATTTTTGAGGGTGTGACAGTCAATTCAAATATTCACACTTCATTGGCTGTTGGCGCAGCCATCTTTGTGATGGCATGAGGGTCAATTAGCATATTCTCTCTTTATTAGATAGGATTCTGATTTCTTTACTAAGTAACATAGTCTAAAGAAAAAACTCACTGCTGTGTGACTCTTCTATTCTCAGTAATCTATTACAACACAGCTTCACATCTGACTCCAAATGTGTGGGTTTTTACAGTTTTTACGCATCAACCAATTCTGCCACTCCAGCTACAATTTAACTCATTTCAGACACTATTTACCTAGAGACAGTATCAGATCCCAGGGATTAAGACTCCATCTCACAAGACTGTCTAAAGATTCTCAGGTTCAGTTAATTTGTTAGAATAGTTCACAAAACTCAGAAACATTGACTTACCTCCACCAGTTTATTATAAAAGATATTAAAAGGATACAGAATGAATAGCCAGATGAAGAAGTATATGGGGTGAGATCTAGAAGGATCTCAATTACTGGAGCTTACTCCCTCCTGCATAAGGAGGAAGCTCTCTGAACTCCATATTTTTTAGATTTTAATGGCAGTTTCCTTACTTAGGCTCGATTGATTAAATCATTGGCTATTGGCCATTGATTTAATCTTTAGCCTTTCTTCCCTCCCTGGAGGTTGGGGGTGGCCCAACCCTCTAATAATATGGTTGATTCTCCTGGCAACCATCCACCATCTTTAGGTTACTTAGGGACTGTCCAAAGTCTAATTAACATACACGTGTGGTTCAATGCTGAAACCGTTTTGGCTCAGTGGTAGAACGTTGGTCTGTGGACTGAAAAGTCCCAGGTTTGATTCCGGCCAGAGGCATGTACATTGGCTGTGGGCACATCCCCGATAGGGGGTGTGCAAGAGGCAGCTGGTCGATGTTTCTCTCTCATCGATGTTTCTAGCTATCTCTCTCCCTTCCTCTCTGTAAGAAAATCAATAAAATATATTAAAAAACAAACAAACCATACACTCACGTGTGGTTCAGAGGGGCTTGTTATAAACAAACTAGAGGTCTGATGCACGAAATTTGTGCAAGAGTCGGCCTTCCTTCCCCCGGCTGCCCGCAGCGGCTTCCCTCTGGCACCTGGGACCCAGGCTTCCCTCCAGCACCAGCAGGCACCCAGGCTTTGCTCTGGCTGCCAGCAGGCACCCAGGATCCAGGCTTCCCTGTGGCCTCTGGCAGGCACCTGGGACCTGGACTTCCCTCCAGTTCCTGCTTTTTCTGAAAGGACATCTGTTCTAATTAGCATATTACCCTTTCATTATTATAGATTATGTCACTTTATGGCCATGGAGCTATTTGAGGAACTGGAACAAAAGCTCTTATTGCTCATTAAATTCCGAGGGTTTTAGGACTTCTGTTCCTGGCGCAGGGATAGACCAAATATATATTTCTTATTATCAATCACAACATCGTACTCACCCTACTCATTGCCAGTTTAATATATCAATCTGAGTATTTTAAAGGCCAAAAATTTGTAAACTCCCAACCTTGGTTGTTTTCTAGTGTTGCCTTTATGAATGAATGGTACCATAATCTGTATTTGGACTAATCAGGTAACCTGGGGATATGATCCTTTTAATTTTAAATATTTTATAGTCTTACCTTCTCTACAATATAATTTTCAAAAAGATAAGATCATGACTCACATGTCAATATAAAGTGATCACCTGTCAAGAGTTTATTCAACTAATTGACTAATAAGAGAATGAATATGATGTTAAGGCTGATTCAGACAGTATTTACAGGAGCTATGTACTTATAAAGGAATACAATATAAGATTGCTGACCTAAATAAAAAACTGGTTAATGTACTGCAAACTAATAATCTGTTACATTTGGGGTTATCTTTTCTCCTGGACAGAAATTATTTGTATTTCCACTGGATAAAAAGATATAAGTTCACATAATCTCACTAAATCTATATCTTAACAGTAAACTGTGAGTTCAATAAAGTTCATTTTTCTATAAAATCCTTGGATGGACTTTTGCCTCCATATGAAATTGAAAGGTTGTGCTATACTTCTTTCCCTTCCTCTCACATTTCCATAAATTTTTTTTAATACTTTCTAATTCAAGCTACATCTGTCTCTGGATTACTATATCAGTAGTTTAAATGTACCCATTCTAACCCCCCTAACACATCCATATTAATATGAGAGTAGTATTGTTTTTATATTTATGTTTTTTTAATTGTGAAATATAATGTATGTAATATATACATTTCAGTAATAATAGAATGGACTTCTAAGTATCCACCATTCAACAAAAAATAGAACATTACTCCTACATTGAAATGTAGGAGTAATGTTCTCCATGTACCCCTTCGTAATCATATCCTCTCATCTTTAGAGACATTAATGTTGCTTATTTTTTAAAAAGTTTATATATGTATAAGATAATATATTGTTTTTGAACTTGGAACTTGTATGCATATATGTATAACTCATGGACACAGACAATAGTGTGGTGAAGACCTGGAGTCGGGTGGGAGCAGGGTGGAGGGGGTCATTGGCTGGCGCGGGGGGGGGGGGGGGGGGACGGCAGGAAAGGGACATCTGTAATACTTTCAACAATACTGGTAAAGATAAATTAAAATAAAAAAGAATAAAATCATTTATATGTTATATATCTATAATTTACTTTTTTTTTTTTTTAACTCAATACATATAGATTTATGTTCATTCTTGTTGGTACATGTGTTACTAATTTTTATTTTTTTTAATCCTCACCCAAGGATATGTTTTGAGACAGAAGAGAGACAGAGAGACAAAGATCGACATGAAAAATATTGATCCGTTGCCTCCGTACACACCCCATCCTGAAACCGGGATATGTCCTCTGACTGGGAATCCAACCTGCAGCCTTCTGGGATGGCGCTCCAACCACCTGAGCCACTTGGCCAGGAGGAGTTCACTGATTTTTTAAAATTTTACTTATTTTTTTTTGTTCACTGATTTTTAAAAATTTGACTAGTTAAGTCTGTTAATGAATCCCTCTATTGAATTTTTTAGTTCAATGATTGTTTTCTTTCAGTTCCAAATGTCTGTTTGGTCCTTTTTATATTTTATATATCTTTTTTGAAGTTCTTATTTTGTTAATGTATCATTTTTCTGAGCTTGTTGAGCATCTTTATGATGATCATTTGGAATTATTTGTCAGATAATACATATACCTCCATTCCTTCCCCCGTTTTTGAAATTTCCAAGAGAACCATAATAAAGTGGTAGCAGCACCAGTAGTAGTGTTAGTAGTAATAGTAATGGTAATAGCAGCAGTTAACATTAATGGTGCTCTTACTAGTGCCAGTCATCATTCAAAGCTATCTATAATAGATTGGTTAATGAATTTAACCCAATCACAACTCTATGACTTATTGTTTTCCTCATTTTATAGATGAAAAATGTAATACACAAAAACTTTAATATGCTTGCCATAGTCATGTTGTAGCCACATTGGCTTTAAACAAATTCAGGTAAGTTTGACACACAAAATTCACTTTCCCTCTCCTTTTTAGTTATTAGAAAAGTTAAAAGAACGTTGGCTCTCTACTGGTTTATGGCATAATCTGGAGTTGGTGAAGACCGTCATTGTAGAACCACAGGGAGGAGAAAAAACTGATTTTGATGAATTACTACAGGTGTACTATGATGCGATCAAGTGCAAAGGAGAAAAAGGTAATTGGAAATGATTGTATGACTAATGAAAAAAGATTTTTTACTGTAAAGTAAGAAGTTGGTGCTGTTAGAACATTATTTGTGTTATCTTTTTAAATTGCATTTAAAGGAAGAATTATATGTTATACTCCTGAGTAAAAAGAAAATAAGTGAAAGAAATTTTTTATTTGGAGTTATTCTGTGAATGTTTTCAATTGGGGAAACATTCAGTTATTATTCCTTAGTCATCCCTACACTACTCACAATGTGTTGTGAAAAAAGGCAGATAGAGCAGGCCTAAAGATCTTCCCTACTAGCCGAATGAACCCTACATTTTGATGCAAATAATATACTTTGTGTTTATATTCTAGTACAGTGGTTGGCAAACAGCAGCTTGCGAGCCGCTCTGTTGACTAATGAGTTTGCCGACCACTGTTCTAATACATAAGATAAATTTGAGTTTTCAAAACATAAGTGAAGACTGAATATGAAAGTTAGAGAATGTCAATTTATGAACAATGCAAGATCATAAAGATACTATAACATATTTGTCATTATCCTTGTATGATGAGTATTCTGTGTGTGTTGTACATACTTTTTAATATTAACTTGATTCAATATGATATATTATACAAATTAATAATTATTTAAATAGTTCTAAGAACTTTATATGCTTGTGGTAATGGTAAGGGTTGCTATTTCAATTTCTAAAGATAAAACCGTTGGTTCACAATTGCTTAGTTCATGTGCCAATTACTACTCTGATGTGGTTTTACTGTGTGTTTCTCTGAGAAACATAGTTTATAAGTTGGTTTGTTACCACATTGTACCTAAATATAATTTTGTTTTTCTCATTTATTTAAAGACATTGAACTTTAAAAACTTTCATAAGAGTTTTTAAGTTTGAGTCTTTTAAGTTTGTTACTATGATGACTTAATCGGAGCTTTTCAAAATGTCGAGAAAAGGCAATTTCTGGGAATGTTGAGTGTACTTTTAAAAATGTTTATTTTCTGTTGCTTAAGATGGAGCCCTCCTGGTAGCAGTTTGTCGTGGTAAAGTGAGTGAGGGTCTGGATTTCTCAGATGACAATGCCCGTGCTGTTATAACAATAGGAATTCCTTTTCCAAATGTGAAAGATCTTCAGGTAGGCCTTCAAAGTCTTAAGAAATTTTATCATAGAAGTTATTAATTTTATGTTAAGTTAACTATACATTTTTCTTGTATCTTCAGATATTTTATTTTAATTTTATAGTGACTCAATGAGTGAGAAAGGTTTAGTAGATGCTGGTTTATTTTATTTGTCTTTTCAAATTATAAGAGAAAGTTTATTTAGGAAGTTAGAGAGGTAGTAAAAATGAGCCAGCTGAGCTGTGTAGGGTCAGAATCTAAGTTACAGAAGCAAAAGGAGGGCCCTTGGAGCTTGGGACAGAGAAGTAACTGGTCAGGGGGGTAAGAAGAAGGGGAATGGAAAGGCATGGGCATGTTCTGGAGAGGAAGAGTGTCAATTATATTTTTAATTTATATTATTTATTGTTTAATAGAGTGATTTTCCAAGAGTGGTTCCAGGTCAGGAGCATCAGTATAACCTATGATCTGATAGAAATACATATTCTCAGACTCTATCCAGACCTATGGAGGTAGAGCCAGCAGTTTGCATTCTGTGAAGCTGTTAGCCACAGGCTAACAGGGGTCCCCCGTAGTTGTGGGGCCCTTTTTCTATCTGGCTCTTTTCTTTCCAAAGCCATGCCCTGCTCTGCAGATTGCAGTGATTTTAGCTGCTCCAAATTCTCTCTTCCACCTCAGCTCAGCAGGACCCTGTATTCTGCCGGTTCAGTGCTCTGTGTTGCTGTCAGGAAGTTTTACTCAGGAAGAGAGCAGAGAATCATGGAGCTCACCTAATGGATTTCCCTTATCTCTGAGATTAGTCATATGTTGCCTGGTGTCTACTCCTTGAAAGCAGTTGCTTTATCTGTTGTGTCCAGTTTTACAATCACTTACAGTGGGAGGGATATTCCCAAACCAGTTATTCTGGTCTTGGCCAAAAACAGGAGTTTTGCTTCATTATCACTGATTGCTTGCTAAACATTATATTTGAAAAATTACTTGTAGCAATAATTTGAAGCCAAAGATGATGTTATCTTTGATCGAGGAGGATTTTTATTTATTTTCTACAGGCAGTTGAAGATGCTAGCAATCTGAGACCAAAAATTGAGGTTTTTCTGACCACTGAGCTGACCGCATTGAGTATAATTCATTTCCCTCCTCCCAGAGCACAGCCGGTTAGGGCTTCTTACCAAAGTAGGAATTCTTTCTCCAGGCAGTTATCTTCTTTACTATTAATATTTTACTAGACACTGTGAATTATATAATATTAACAGTAACAAACAGTATTTCTCTGGCTAGTTTCTACTCTTCACTAATCTCTGGAGCTCCTCAAAATTTCTGAAAGTCCATAAGGGATATCAGTTCCTTTCATTAACTGGTGCCTTCCAGTACCTTTCTCCAGCCCAGGGTTGCTGTTCTAAAATGGCCAATGATGCCTCTGGCTATTGCTGCTGATGAAACACTTGCCATCCACTCGGGAAAATTGTTGTGTTCACCATCAACAGCATCAGTGCTGAAGCTGAGTGCTGCTGATGGCACTGCTGTTGGCGGTGGTATTGTCTCTTTTTTATGTCTTATCATTTTACCTTGGCCCTATATTATTGCACTAATACTGCTTTGTTAAAGTGGAAAGAGTGTTTTTCCCATTCTTTCTGAACCACACATTCTTCCAATGTCTTAAATAAGTCCCCTTCCCCCAAAAAACTAGCTTTTTAAATTGTTGCTTAAATCATTTCTCTGTTTTGGACCTATATGTGAGTTTTTCAGAGCTGGGGAAAAAAACCCTTATGGCTAATAATAGTTTGTACTAAATACAAAGTAATAGATACAAAAGGATTCACATCAAACTCATAATTTGAGTATATCTGAGAAGAGAAATAAATGGTATAGAGCAGTAGTTAGCAAATTCATTAACCAACAATACAATTGAAATTTCTTTTGAGCCAAAACCAGTTTGGTTCAGTGGTTCAGAGCATCAGCCTGCAGTCTGAGAGGTCCCAGGTTCAACTCCAGTCAAGGGCATGTGTCTTAGTTGTGGGCACATCCCCAGTGGGGGATGTGCAGGAGGTGGCTGATCGATGATTCTCTCTCATCGATGTTTCTAACTCTCTATCCCTCTCTCTTCCTCTCTGTAAAAAATTAATAAAAATATATTTTTAAAAAATTTTCTTTTGAGAGTCAAATTTTTTAAACTTAAACTTCTTCTAACGCCACTTTTTCAAAATAGACTCACCCAAGCTGTGATATTTTGTGGAAGAGCCACACTCAAAGGGCCAAAGAGCTGTATATGGCTCGCGAGCCATCGTTTGCCGATCATGGGTATAGAGGGTAGTGATAAAAAGGACTTTAGCATTTTCTATAATACTTGTTTGTTTTAGTAAAAAGCAAGCTTCAAGAAAATATAGTGAGAAGACAGGTGTTTATATGTTATTCTTTCAAAATTCTTAAAATTAAATAAAATGTTACTTGTGAAGAAAAAAATTATATTAACTTCCATTTTCTCTACCCTCACTTCCAACAACTATGATTCTGGACATTTTTTTTTATGCCAATTTGGGTTTTTAATGCTTTATTTTCTCACAGTAAGTTCTTTCCAGGCAGCATCTCAGTCTGTCATACAGACAGACACCCTGTAGTCTGTTTTGACATTCCTCAGTAATGACCCTCCTTGTTATAGTTTTAACTAACTGAATTCCAGTGGCTCTAGTTGTACAAAGTAGAATAACAGAAGACAATGAGGTGTTGTAGGGAGGAGGAGGTTTGTTCTAAAGAAGTTGACCTAGTTTGCCTAATATTCCTAGTGGTTCCTAAAAGGGCCAAATGGGATAGACCTAAGAGTAATCTGAGTTGTAGGAATAAGGGACAGATAAAGAGGGAAATTCTTTTTTTTCTTTCCTATATTTTATTGATTTTTTTTACAGAGAGGAAGGGAAAGAGACAGAGTTAAAACATCGATGAGAGAGAAACATCAATCAGCTACCTCCTGCACACCCCCTTCTGGGGATGTACCCACAACCAATGTACATGCCCTTGACTGGAATCGAACCTGGGACCCTTCAGTCTGCAGGCCTACACTCTATTCACTGAGCCAAACAGGTTAGGGCAAGAGGGAAATTTTTTTTGGCAATACTATTATAGATATAAAGGAAGTGTATTTCTTTTTGCCATTTGTCTGGATCAGTTCTTGTGTAATAAACAGTTCTAAAACTCTGACTTAAGACAACTATCATTTATTATGATACACACGTGTATAGTGTGGTGGCTGGGCAGTATCTGATCTAGGCTGGGCATATTGAGCAATTTCACCTGGGCTCGGTCATCCTGCTGTGGTTTGACCATTGTAGGTTGGGCAGGACTGTTTTACATATGTATCTCATTTTTCATAGACCAACAGACTAGCCAAAGCTAGTTGTCATTGCAATGGCAATGGTACAAGAAGGCAGGCTTGACTGTATAAGCACTTCCACATTTTCTAACCTTTTGCCCATAGCATGTCATTTGCCCAAGCCCAAAGTCAGGAGCATGGAGGTTAAAAGATTTAGAATTAAGACTTCAAAAAGGAATACTGGCATTTGTTTTTTCCACAGCTAAAGGATATTTGTAAGGCATCCATCCAAAGACTGATGTTTATAAACTTTAACAGTGTAGGTATGCGATTTTTCTAATTAAGGTCTATTATTATTTGGAAATGACCAGAATATAGTAGTCAATACCTGAAATATCTGAATATCTGAAATATTAATATTTGAAATAAATCAGAGCATCATTATAAATGGTTTCTTAAAATTCATAAATGACCAAAGAAGTTGTTAATAATATTTATTTGTACTACTATGGATATAAAAGACATTCTGAAATTTTAACCAGTTAACTGACATAGCGTCTATAGATGCAAGCAGCAGACCTTTTTTTTTAATCTAATTCAAAATATGACAGTTTTAATGAATTCACTTTATCTATTTTTTGTTGTTTGTGCTTTTGGTGACATACTTAACAAAAACATTTGCCGAATACAAGGTCATGCCCCTAATATTTTCTTCAAAGAATTTCATATAGGCTTAGCTCTTAAATTTATTTATTTATTCCTAAAGGTTTTATTGATTTTTAGAGAGGGAGGGAGAGAGAGAAACATTGATCGGCTGTCTCCTGCATGCCTAGTACCATCCTACCGGGTGTCGAGCCCACAACCTGAGCATGTGGCCTAACCAGGAATCAGACTGGCAATCTTTCAGTACATGGTACAGTGCCCAACCAACTGAGCCAAACTGGCCAGGACAAATGATTTCCTGAAATGGCTTTTCCAAAACTAATACCATGCTTCAAATTACTGGACCACAAATTAGGACTTTATTGTTTTCTTTTACATTAATACTCAGTCTATCATGCAAGAATAAGTAGAAGTTATTTATAAATGCAAACAAATATTCTATCATATGGAAATGAAACAATCTGTTTTTGCATTATTTTCTATATTGTTTGATTTGAATTCTTATTTTACATGTCATCCTTGTGCAGGAGCCATACTAATCTTCTCTGTATTTTTCCAATTTTAGTGTATGTACTGCTGAAGTGAGTACTAAATTGTTATTTTAAAAAGCTAGAATCAATGCCTGATTTAGATAAGTCATTTGAGTGGGGAAAAAGAAGGCAGTGACGTTAATTTTATGATACTATTTTTTTTCCTTAAATTGAGGCACAGATTATAGAAGTAAAAATTAAAATGCAGTTTAAAATACTAACTTAAGGCTTTTGTAGTCTCAATTGCAGAGTTTGGCTTCTAGAGAAGCAGGAAAATGAATGTTAGAGCCAAAAATATGACTTCTTTGGCTGTGACCAGGATTTCCTTTTCCCACCTTGGGGACTAGAAAGTAGTGGTAGGAAAATTTCATTTTGGAGCCAAGTGTGACTTGTTTAGTTTGTCATAATTTATTGCGTATACCTCAGGGACCTGAAAATAAAGAAACCCACTATGAAATGTTGATAATGGGCCGCTCTGAAGGGCAAGCAGTAAGCTAACTTTCCCAGTGAGGATTTTTTCAC